TAAGAAGAATATATGCAGTGTATTATTTGTTGAAACTGTACTTCCGATTTGATTTGAAACTGTCTCATTGCTATATGTTTATCAATAAAACTGTAGAAAAAAAATAAAAAAAAATTAATGAAATACTCATAAAAGCCGTAAAAAAAAATAAAATAAAATTAGGTTGAAAGAGTAACTCCATTAGGACATAAAAGCCTGAAAACACTGAGCGTTATTAAAAAAAATTAGCTGAAAAATGTCACTAATAATCAAGAACACAGTGAAGGTGGCCAGGCACGGTGTATGCCCCAGTAATCCTAGCACTTGGGAGGCTGAGGCAGAAGGATCACGAGTTGGAAGCCAGCCTGAAATACACTGGGACGGCAATCACAAAACAAACAAAAAGAAAATGGTTTGAATTTTCATTATTTTTGAAGATCAGCTATAATATTTAAATCAGAACATAATACATAAATGAAACGTCTTTGGCAAAGAAACAGGTTGAATTCTTACACTTTAGGAAGAGTAGTTTCCCATAAAGCTCTACTATGAGGCTGTGTAATTTAGCTATAGTTCGTATAATGTCCATCTACCAATGAAACAAAAGATTACGATATTCGTTAATGAATTATGCTATTCTCAATTATTTTTTATTTTAAAATTTTTATTAAGGAACACTAAGCTTCAAATTAGTTAAAATCAGTGAATATCTTTTATTTGAAGAAAATTATTGAGATCTTAAGATTTGGAAAAATTGAACACTTCATGCTTAGCTGAACATATTGCAGTTAATTTTTAAAATCAGATCATTTAGCGATAGGAATGGTTGCGTGACTGTTGTTTTAAAGACCCCGTGCTGGGGAAGACTAATGTGGAGATAAACAGCGTGAGCCGAGCAGCTCCGCACAGCTAATGCCTATGGTGTGGGAGTGGGTGGAGGCGGCGTCATGTGATGAGGTCAGCCTGCCTCAGCTGATCAGTCCATTGACCCTCCCTCAGCAGACAGTGCTGGCAGAGAGCATTCAGTGTCTTTCTAATTATTTTCTTCTACCTGGCTTTTGCACACGAGAGTGTTGTGTCACTAAGCAGGTGATGTCCGCATCTTTGTGTATGGTTTCCCTGTCTCCTTCAAATCCAGTTGTTACATTTCTCTCAGGTGCCACCAGGCACCAGAAGGACAGGAACAGAATAAGAAAGTGTAAAGAGCCACTTCCTGTCCCCTAGACAGCCTCCTCTCGTCTTTCTCTGGCCTCCTTTGGTGAAGGCTGGCTGTAGTTACAGATGCCTGAGGACACAGAACATTTTCCTTTGCGATGATCTGTGACATCCTCAACCTCCCGGAGTGGCTCGGCGTTTTTTCTATGATTTACTGCATAGTTTGTTCCTCCCAGTACTGGGGAGTGAACCTAGGGCTCTCACCCTGAGCCACACCCTTCACCCTCACTTCTGCCTTTCTGTTTTTGGTATTTTGGGACAAGGCCTCACCAAGTCCTTGAGTTGCCTAGGCTGGGCCAACCACTGGAATTACAGGGGTGTACCACCAGGCCTGGCAATATATAGGGGTGTGTGTGTGTGTGTGTGTGTGTGTGTGTATACCAGGGATCAAACGCAGGACCTTGTGTTTGCCAGGCAAGCACTTATTCCACTGAGATATCTCCCTGGCCCCAGTATATAGATGTTCAAGATTGATTTTAATGAAAAATTCTTCCAAAATGCCTACCATGAAACAGGTTTGAAAAAACAGTTGGACTTGATAAGTGTATTTTTTTCTTTTTTGTGTTATGAAAAGACTTCAAATAAAAATAGTAAAAAAATACCAGTAGTTAATATACTTTGTATTGCTAACTTCAAAGTAGTTAATCAGACTATAAGACACTGACAAAAAAGGATCTTGTCTTAAAAAGAAGCAGCAAAGAGATAATAGCACAAGAGTTTCAGTGAACTAAGAGAAGATTTGTCCCCTGATGAAATTTAGGGCAAGACCTCTTTGCAGGTAAATTTTACTTATTACAATATTCCAGGCAAGGTCTAAATCCTTCTTGTTTCAGAATAGAAATGTACTGTTTTATTGTAACATATACATGTTCATTGTGAATGCCTTCATTCTACATGGAAACCCACAGAGAAAAAAACTGTTATTCTGAGACAATGGGATTGTTAATATTTAGTATAAAGCTTTCTAGTTTTTTTGTAGCTTTATAAACATTCACCTAATTACTTAAAAATAGGATCAGGCTATATACATTACTTTGTAGTATATATTCATATGATTATTGTATAGATATATACTTTCATAATGATTTTCCACCAATTCTCAGAATTTCATTGTGTAAATGTACTATCTGTGGTTATTTCTAATTTTTCATAAATTAAAAAGGTTATTTTTTTTCCATTCACCAAGGAATGGATAAAAAGATGTGGTATTTTTATACACTGGAGTATTACTGAGCTATAAAGAAAGATGTACTCAAGGCTTTTGTATGAGCCGCGGACCGTTCTCATAAGTGAAATACACAGACTTGCTTGTGTAAAAATCATATTGTCTCCCTTATATAAGAAACTGAAAGCGTAAATAATATCCAAGAGGTACAGTAGATATAGTGAAAAAGAAAGTAACTGCCCAAAAGGAAAGAACAACTGAGATGGAGAAAAAGAGAAAAGGAATGGAGAAAAAGATATGTCTATATACTCAAGTTACTAAGGTCATTGTACTGCTAATTTCTGTTAGTTCATTGAAAGGAACAGTTAGTGCCTATATTGTTTGATCAATCTTACATGCCTACACCTAGTCATCTGAGTGACTACTTTGAAGGTAACAGTATGAGATATAATAACCATTGCTAACATCCTCTCATCTTGGTTTGAAATTCCGAATTGTTTTTACTATTTTTTAAAGGCTATTTTTATACATATCTTTGTGCACCTATGCAGTATACTATTTGGCTATGACTGTTGAAAATGGAATTGTGGTTTAAACGAGTATATACTTTTACAGATTTTGAAAACAAAGGCAAAATTGCTTTCCAGATAGGTCGTTTCAGTTGACACGCCCGTCATTATTATGGGCGAGTGCCCACATCTCCTCATCTTCAGAAACTACAGACTCAAGAGCAGTGTTGCTGGGAGGAGGATGCCCTCCAGCTCCATGGGCTTGGGGTTACTTAAGCTCTCTGGGTGTTCTGGTGGTTGTCGCTGGCTGGCGAGGTCATCATCATCTAACCAGTGGTAGCCAGAGGCCGCAACTCCAGCTTTCCTCTTGCAGTCTACCACGACGGTGCTTTAAGCTTGCCTCCTGTGCTCTTCTCCCTTAGATTGAGGAAGACACGTGGCAGAAATACTACCTGGAAGGAGTCTCCAATGAAATGTACACAGAATATCTCTCCAGTGCCTTCGTGGGTCTGTCCTTCCCTACTGTTTGTGAGTAAGTGGCTGCTAACAGGATACTCTTTGACGTGCAGGGATTGTGACTGTGCTCCTCGTTGGAAGCCACCCACCTCTGGCTGGTGTGGTTGGGTCCCTTGACATTTACTGAGGGCATCCTGTGTGATGGAGCATCCTGTGTGATGGAGATTGGGAAGATGAATCCTTCCATGTCTGTGCCTTGGGGGTTTCTGCTGGCCTCAAGCTGTCCCTTGGGTTCAAGAACCTTGAGGTTGGACCCATCATCTCCACTACCTCATGACCCTAAGGGCAATTAGCCTGTGAATCTTGCCTTATACTTCTACACTGCAGACACATGTATGAAGGAGCATGGCACAAAACCATGTATATCTGATTTTTCTTTTCTTTTATTACTTTGGTACAGGAAGTGGAAACCAGGGCCTCTTACATGCTAAGCATGTGCCCTACATAAAACTTCACAAGTACCTTTCTGATTCAACTGGGAAAAAACAAATCTTGCTAATTCCTTGATAGAGGAATTTTAATCAGCCGTCTAATCAAACCAGATCGTAGCAACATCAGAAGCTACTGAACTAAAGCCATTTAAATACTTTCACAATTTATGGAGGAAATTTGGAACCAAATGTATAGACAGGAGTCCTGCAAAAGTCCTTGCAATTTATCCCCTCATGGACAACTTCTTTGTGATAGTGAGGACAAGGTTTGGTTTCTGCTTTTGCTGGCTCAGCAGGGTGGGTCAGGGCAAGGAAGCTTGCCTTGGCCCCTCTAGAAAGAATAAGAGATCACCTATGTGGGGTCAGTTTGGTTTCTATACCTTCAGTCCTCTTCACCCAACCTCGGGGGTCCCGGGTGTCTACCGTGAGGCATGACGCTCCCTCAGATTCCCCACGTAGAGTCCTGGGAGTTTGGGTTCACGTCAGAGGCAGACTTTGTCCCTTAGAGAATGCAAACTCCTTGAGAATGGTGGACCATCACCTCTGATCCATTGACACCTTAGCAAAGGTTTCATAAGTCTCCATCTTGCTGATAAAACACTGGGAAGAAATGGGAATCTGAGACTCCGGTTTCGTTTTCCTCCCTCCCTACTTGCAAATCAAACACACCTTCTGGCGAGGGAGGACTGAAGGCATAGAAACCAACTTGAGTGCCCTTTCCAATAAAGGCGAGGGAAGTCGGGGGTGGGGGCCTGCTGGCGCCGCTGTGTCACCCTGCTCTGTTCTGTGCCTGGTAGGAGGGCCCAAGTGCACGTGGCTTCCTGTCTACCTGGGGAGTCTGTCGGGGTCACAGCAGGTGGGCTTCGCCATTCCCTGGGCCCCGGGCCCTGAGCACTCTGAAATGGTTTGGCTGTTTACTGAAATCTCTCACCCTGTCTCTAAGTGAAAGTTTAAATGCTAAATGGACTGGAAAAGTGAATAGGTAATTGATTTGGAAGAAGTTATTTTCTGAAAGTGGATGCCCCGCTGTACCGCCAGCGCTCCTCTTTTTGCTGGCCCTTTCTCTTTCTGCCATGGGGAGAAGCTCACCACCCAGAGGCAGTGGAGCCTCAGAGGCTGCGGCTGACCCCGGGGGATCTTCTCCTTGGAGCTCAGCCTGCTGCGAATAGGAAGCACGGAAGCCAGCACTTGGAGCAGAAGCTGGCTTCATAAGCAGGCAACGGAAGCCTCCCATGTCAGGGGCGGGGTGATCTGAGGTCAGGGCAGGTGTCTTGGGGCATTGGGGTCTTAGCAGGCAAGGGGGAAAGACCCCCATATTAGCTAGTGAGTTTTCTTTGCCTGACAGGTGCTGATGTCTAGCTTGAGCACTTTTCCAAAAGCCATTTGGCTGTTCTCTGAAAACTTGAGTTTAGGCCATCATAGAACTAACCAGAAAGGGAGGACAGGGAGGATGGCTCCCCCTAGAGGTTGTAATGGGTACACCCACATGGACTCAGGTTCAGGTTCGCGATCATCTTTAATTTCTTCAAGGTTATTTGTTTCAAAATAGCGGTATTCACATCAAAGGAGATCCCTGGCCTCACCTGGAAATGTGAGCGCACATGGCTAAGTGACAGCCACTTGCTGCCTCACTCCAGATTAGCATTAGCATCTTAGGCCTGGCCTGTGGCCACAAACAGTCAGGGCCCCTCTGGCCCACTGCACGTTGCGAGACTTCCGTGTCCTGTAGCACTCATGGATAGAGTGACTGCTTCAATGTTTTCCTGCATTGATTTTCATATTTAAACTATGCCCCCCAAGGGAGAAAATCCCCCAGACCTAACTTGTCACAAAACTTAATATTTTGTTCAGGAAAGCATTTGGAATGAAAAAAGAAAAAAAGAAAAAAAAAAAGAAAGAAAGAAAGCCAGCTTTGGATATGAGTGAGAATTGCTTTCAACTTTAGCGCTATTATTCGTTTAATGCAATGATACGGCAGAGGTGGAACTAATCAATAAAGAAAGGACATTTAATGAGATTTAGGAACATCCCAAAACATTGAAGCTCTCCTCAAGCATTTGATTATCTGGAGGCTTAATTATCTGTGTTTTCTACTTTAAATTAAAGAAAAGCCATAACTCAAAGTTACCAGCAGTTTAATGATAACACTCTTCAATTCAGGTTAATTAAAGCACAGGCGTAATTAGAGTGTAGTGCTGTATATCACGGGGCTGGCGCATAAGTATTTTCATTACAGTAAGAATTGGCTATTCAATTTCAAGATGACATAAAGGATGCCAAAATGTATTTTAAGCTGGTTCATGGAGAAGAAAAAGAATTGAGGGAATATTCTGGGTGTAATAAAACACAGATAAAATATACAGATTTTTTCCGAGTAGTTTCTGTAATTATGCACCACACTAAGACAATATGCATCCAAGAACATCTTAAAGCATAAGAGGAAATAAATGTGTTCTTCTCCTGGGTTGGTAGAATGCCACTTCTCAGGGTGGGGTCACTATAGGGAGAGGCTGGAGTTTTCTCAGAAGCCGGGAGAGCCAGTCTGTGGGAGTGAGTAGAGGGGGACAGATCAGTAGGTGAAATTAAAGGTCTTCTCATGCGAACAGGAAGTGGCTGGAAAGTGGTGAGCGAGGCAAAGCTAGCTCCTTAAAAATCTCAAGCCGCAGCGGAACTCCCCGGTTCAGGGTGAGCCCCGCATCTGCATCATGCTTTAGCTTCTCTGTGAGAGTCTCACCCGCATCAGACCAGAAACCGCGGCTTTGTTCCCAGACCAGAAGGGAATTTAGACACAATTCTAACGTCTAATTGCTCATCTGCATCCTCTCATTTATCCTCATAGCAATCCTGTGACAGCTAGGTTCATCTCACTATCTTTGTTTTGTAAACAAGGACACGGAGACGTAGAGGGTATAGGTGCCCATCCCAGTGCCAGCTGAAAGGCGAGCTACCAGGTTTCCAGTGCTGAGTCTGGTGCAACTTGGAGCAGGCCGTAGTCGAAGCCCATTGTGAATCTTCTGGGGAGTTTGTTAAATGCCGCAGTGTCTAGGCTTCCTTTCCAGATGCCAAGAAGATATGGGGGAAGGCTTAGAAATTGGCTTTTCTTTCTTTCTTTCTTTCTTTCTTTCTTTCTTTCTTTCTTTCTTTCTTTCTTTCTTTCTTTCTTTCTTTCTTCTCTCTCTCTCTCTCTCTCTCTCTCTCTCTCTCTCTCTCTTTCGCTCGCTTCATTTCTTCTTTCTTTTCTCTCTGTCTCCTTCCTTCCCTCCCTTTCCAAGGCAGGAGACTCAAACTCTGAGGACTGGAAACTGCTGTCTTACCTCCATGTTCCACCCCTCACTCTGGAACAACCTCTATTTGTTTCCCACTTTGAGCACACTCACTGGCATCACAGATCATAGATGGCTTACAAGCTCATGTGAACACTGGGGCCTTTGTGGGCTCTTCCTTCCCATCCTTCCCTCTTCAGGTAGGATATTCCGCAATCTCTAAGGTCAGAGGAATGGGTCTGAATTATGCCAGGAAAGCACAACCCTGACTCTGTTCCTAGCACCCATGCCTAATCCAGATCAGTGCAAGGAAAAGTCACTGGGGCGCTGAGTCTTTTAGAGCCGACATTCAAGTCTCCAGTGCAGATGAGCAAAGATGTTTCTGGTTGGGGGGGAAGTCAGTGTGAAATGCAGATAAGTCCAGGGGTGCAAGGGCAGCTGAGGGTGCAGCCCCTAAAGTCGTCACTTGGCCTTGCTGGTCATGGTGGGCATGGCCCATGCTTTCCATAGGGTGCCTCTAGAGTATTCTTTTTGAAGGCCAGCAGCTCCCGTGTATCCCTTGTTTTTACATAGCTTGTCCCCACGGCAATAACATCAAGACAATGAAGCTTTTGGGCCTGAATGACAGCGTGCCACCCACTGTGTTTCCACTAAGGAACCATCTACTCTCCTACCCTCCCTGTTCCCCACCTTCCTCAGCAGGGAACAGTGAAGATGCCCATTGCCAGCACCAAGCCTGTAAGATAGGCAGAACTGGGATGCCCCGTTGACCCCTAAAAGATTGGGTGTTTGAGCAGTAGCTACTCTAGGGTGTTGTGCAAAGCATAAGGTACGAGCTAGGGAGTCACAGACCTCCAGATCTAACCTGTGCTGCGTATGTGATTGGGGGAGAGAGATGCTTGATTTGTGTGCAGCCCTGTCCCTCCCAGCTGTGTGGCGTGGGGCTGGGTGCAGGCCTCTAGTTTCCTCAGGCCTGAAGGGGCAGGCTCAGCACCACTTAGCACTGTGTACTAATGAATCACCTCTCTCTCACATGTTTTCCTCCCCATTGAATAGAAGCACCTGGAAAGAAACACACTGTGTCATTTTCCAAGTCACACTTGCTCTTTAGCAAATTCTCCTGTCCATCAGTCCCCAGGCAATGGACCAGACACTTAATGAACCTGAGATATTTCCACTATCACGGTCATGCCGAGCTTGGGGCCACTGCTAGAGGTACCTGCATTTAGATTTGATCAAAGGTGTGCCTGAAAGATGAACAGCAGTACTCATAAATGCCAACAAAAGGGATCAGTTTTCCTGCAATGAGCTGCCTCCATGGT